GCTACTAGGAACAGGTGCCTTACTAGTAGTAACAAGGACGCTACTAGCAAGGTTGGGAAGCCAAATTCGTTCCACGCTTTGTGACTGGAGGACTCAGTTCAAACGGCCCAACAGACAGTTCGTCGGGCTCGTTTTGGATCCCAGGTGCTGAGCTTCCAAGGAGCTTCGGACAAATCACCAGCGCTGAGAGGGGCCAGTATAAACGGCCCCTAAACACAGGGCGTCAATCGGAGCACAGTGAAACTTCGAGCTTTTTACATCGGTGTTCCTCACCCAAACCCAGTTACCTTCCTCCAAATACTGGATGTGAAAGGCTTTTTGGAGACAGCTTTTCTTGCAGTTTGCTGCAAGGCATGGTTTCTTCCGCGTTAAAGTCTCCCCTGGGCACCATGTTGCCGAGGTTCGACTTGGAATTAGAGTCTCGAGCTACAGCTATCCTAGGTGATCCGAGGAACAAGTGCATCGCTACTAGTAACAAAGGGCATCGCTACTAGGAGCAAGGACGCTACTAGGGGATCCTGGCATCGCTACTAGGAGCATTGCTTACCAGTAGGTGTGTCTGAAAATATCGAAGGAATAGGTAACTGGCTGGGCGCTGACGGACGAGGAGCTTCCTCCTGGACACGAACACCACTTGGGCGCAGCTGCGAGATATCTTTCTCGGACCCTGTTGTGTTGAGACATTCTTACTGTTGCTGACCACTCTGAAAGGCCTTTTAAGGTCTAGAATTCACAACACCTGTATTGAACTTAGACACTCTTTTGGCAAGAACGCTGTTTGTAAGGAACAAGGACGCTACTAGGAACAAAGGGCATCGCTACTAGTAACAAGAACGCTACTAGGGGCTCCTGGCATCGCTACTAGGAACAAGAATGCTCTTTGTATGGTAATGAATTAAAACGCAACACTCTTCGTTGCGAGAACTTAGGTGGCCTTTACAACAAGAACCTCCTCCTACTGAGTAGCAATGGCCCCCAACCTAATAGCGATGGCCTCCAACCTAGTAGCGTTCTTGCTCCTAGTAGCGATGCCCTTTGTTCCTAGTAGCTTCTTGCTCCTAGTTGTATGGCCAGGAGCCCCTAGTAGCGTCCTTGCTCCTAATAGTGATGGCCTCCAACCTAAGAACTCCTTGTTTGTTTAGGCTGCACGTCCACACCGGTTGTCAGGGTTTTGGTCAGCCTTTCTACATTGAAAGCATCGGTCCAAGAAACGTTGAAACAAGCAACGTGCAAATCATCCGGTGCTTTCGTGTCTACGCCTGGGAGGCAAGCAACCACCCTCTCCAAGGCTCAGCTGGCGGGAATTTTTGAAGCCACTGACAGCCTTGAGGATGCGCAGGATGTTGATCTGAGCTTAGAATGGCAAGAAGTACCAAAGCCAGGGATACCTTCCGGAAAATGGCTAAGAGGAGAGTCCCTCAAACTGGACAGTGCCTTTACACATCCATCTGCAAGCAATCCAGAACTTATCCAGCACCATGAAGCCATGACCTCTTCTGCTAGCCCAATAGTCGCATTCTGAGAGGTACAAAAGGAAGAGTGCAAATATTGCACAGAATAGCCTGCCTCCTTTGGGGGGTTGCATCACTTCGGTATGACTCAAGATGAGTGGCCTCGAAATCCCAAACAAGGCTTGCTGAAATGTTGAATGGGTACCTTAACGCTCTTGTTCTATGGCCACACCTTCCTACATTTTACCTCCAAACTTGCCATTTGACTTGCTGTGGGGGCCCCCTAGCGGAGAAGGTTTTGGACTAAAGTAACAGTGCTCAAAATGGAAAGCAACACTTGAGAGAGGAGGGGGTGAACGAAAGGTAGCAGGGAATCTGGCGTAACCCTGGAAACACTGGTATTAATGGTATTTACGGTGTTTTGTGGCCACCGGCCACCGGGCACAGAAACGGAGGAAAACGCTCGTGCAACATGAGAGCCGGCTGCGTGGTTCAGTCGTTGCCGCCACTTCCGGGCGTTCCCAATGGATCAGCACGATCACCGGATGGACATGCCAATCGACCTCCAGGAAGGAAGGCCAAGTCAGCCCACTCTGCCCACGCTTGTCAAGGATCTGAATTCACTCGAGATGAGGAACATGCGCCGGCTTACCAAAAAGTTTACCAGCTCCTTTTGGTGACAAACCCAGCACGAACAGAGTACACTCGCATCCTCACAAAAGAAAGTCTGCATCTGCAACAACACCTTTACCACTACCAACCCAGCAGATCCTAATATCTATGATCTCATCCTTCTGTTGTGTAGGATCTCATTGCACATTCCAAAGTTGTCAAGCGCCATGCATTCAAACGCGGGCAACGCTGGCCAAACTACTCGGAGTTCCCCCACTCTCATGCAAGGCCGCGGCATGCCAGCCTAATGATCAAATATGCATACGCAACGGATAGCAATATGGAGTGTCTCCAAAAAGTCAAACAAACGCTTTGCAGGTGTAGGTGTTAAATGGTCAGTTCTTGTCTGTTCTTATCTTGTCTCCTTTATCCGTTTTCAGCAGTTGACATGAAGAGCAAAACCTACACATGCCCAGAGAACATGATGCGAAGGAAGTACCACCAACGATGTAGTGTTCATTGCTAGTAAGGGGTAGCAAAGTCCAAAACCTGGAGCCTTTTAAGAGCAATCTAGTTGTTAGAAGGGAGCGAGCGTTGGCCCTTTTCTTTGCTCTTTCGTTTCTTTACACATTTTATTTATTTATGTTCTTTCTTTCGGGTCACTGTCATCTTTGTTCTATATGCTTATCCTATTTGCAGTCTTGCCAGATTAGTACAGCCCCTCTGATCCGCCCCCCTTCGCTGAGAGCCTTAGTCTGGCAAGTCCTCAAAAGCCATGATCTCATGCGGCTCCTGCCGACTCACGACACTCACGACACTCACGACATCGCCTTCCGCCCGTCACAGGCTCTCCAACCTAAGCAATGGCCTCCAACCTACTAGGGATGTCCTCCAACTTACTAGCGATGGCCTCCAACCTAAGTGGATGAGTCAATTTGTTGATTGTCATAGCCTTTCAGTCACTTCATGTATGCTGCAGTATACGATGAAAGGAACGAAAGCGGAGCAACAATACTCAAGTTCAATGCCCAGTGGTGATTGTCATGGTAACGAATGAAATCGAAAAAGGAACCACCAACCCACCACCACCGCCCACGCCATGCGACGCCACCTTGGCAAATTGGTAGTAGGTGCCTCAGCCGTCAGGATGCACTGGATGGCGAGGGCGAGAGCGAAAGCAGCTTCTTGTTAGTACTAGTAACAAGTGCCACGCTAGTAGTAACAAGTGCCTTACTAGTAGTAACAAAAAGCTATTAGAATTAGAATTAATAGCTTCTTGTTACTACTACCGTAGATGGACGAAATATTCAAACCCTTTCAACCACGTGGACCC